GGTCACAGCTGTTCCATAGCAGAGTCTGTGAGCCCTCTAAAAGTTACCTTTTAGATAACTTTTAGAAAGATATCCATTACCTCAAACACTCGGATGTAACACATTAGGACCAAAAGGCAGGTTATATGAGATTCTAGGGATGGAAATAGATATTTCTGTCATAAAGAGAAAGATAAGTAGAGCTAGAGGACACCTAAACAAAAGAGAGGATTTGGAGAGTAATGTTTCTGACCAAATATTGTTAAAAGAAAAAAACAAACAAACGAACAAACAAACAAAAAAAAACTTTTTTTCCATTGATTTTACTGAAAAGAAGTTTTTAATTTCAGATATTTAAAGCCATCCTGAAGCTGAGAGATTAATTTCATGCATAGGACTTATAATAAATAAGATTTAGTCACAATCATAAGTACTTTGTTATCAGTTCCTATATTTGTAGAAACTATATCGTGTGGTAAAAAAATTTACAGTAGGAATCTAAAAATCATTAATGAATTTACATAGTGTTTGGCTAATAGTTTTACCCTAGAAAACCTAAAAGAAATTTAAAAAAGACAAAAGGACAATTTATTTAATCTTATTTGGTTTTGCTTTGTTTTGATTTGGAATTTGGAAATTAATCTCAAAATATTGCTAATCTAATTTTGAAAATAAATTGAAGACGCCAAGGAAATTTAAAAATGAATTTAAGCCAACAGCAGTCTTCTATTCAGAGTGAAATAACTTTTTCATATTTTTAATTTTTTTCAAGAGCATAGAGGATTGTCTCTTACTTTTCTCTGGAATTTTAAGTTCAGCTAAAAAGAAAATCACTTATACACAAAACTCTAGATAAGATATAAAAATACTTAATGAGTAATGTTAAATAAATTTCAGTGTCTCTAAATTCTTAACGTCATTCTGTTTCACAGATTGTTTTACAGTTTTAGTCTTAAACAAAAGCTTATGAAGTGCTAGGTGTAGTAGCAGACTAAGATTACCCTGTGAATTCAAGAACTAGTATAAGCCTTCTGACTTCTCCAGTGTATTTAAGTTCTGGAAACATTTTGCAAATTATATTAGTGCTAATCCACTCTGGGATAACAAGATATAATAGAATATGAAGAGATGCAATTATGGTTTTCTGTGTACGATTCAATAATTCCAAAATACAAGTACATCTTTTAAAGACTTAAATATGTCTTACTCCAATAGCTTTAGAGTTATTTATGAACCCAGAAATGTACTATAATATAGGGCACAGCGACAACACTGATAGCAGTATAATATAAATGTCTGTGCATCAAAGATAATAATCAAAGTAAACTTGTTCATTTTTTCCAAGAAGCCAGGGTAGCCTAAGAAGCAACCTTCAGGCCCATGAGAAAACTACTTTAAGTACATTAACTGATTTATTTAAAGTTGCTTGGGTGCTTTTATATTACACTACAGTCTGCAATGTGAACATATCCACAAGGACTGTTTGGCTGGGATGAATAAAAATTATTAGATCAGGTTAGGTCTGGATTATGTTTATGAGGATAAAGATACAGCAATCTGGTAGTAGGCATATCACAAAAGGCTCAGTAAAATCTAGGAAAGGGTCAAAACAACATGGTGAGGTGCATTGTTTATTCTAGGCAAGAAGGCTAAGAAACATAATAAACACATACATCATTTGTAGTGTTGGTCCAAATTTCGCCATTTTTTCTGACTCTTCACTCCATCTTGGGAGATTCATGTTCAAAATTATATATGTTACTTCTCCCAGAAATACCAGCAACAAATCCAGAAGTCAATGGGTTAGGGTAACTAATATGAATGACATATTAATAGGACGCTTCCAATGAACTTTGTCAATGAATTTGATTAATTAGTTAATGAATTAATTAGGTAATACTATACACCAGTTCAGGTATTATTAATGGAAGCATGCATGGTATGCCTTAGGGATGTGTAATACTTAATAATAAATGTAAACAATAAATGTGCTTTTGTAATGGTGGAAAATAATACCTGGCAGTAAAGAGATCTCAATGAAAACCCTATCAGTAGTGCTGTATTACCAGCTGTATTGCCACCATTAGTGCACACTAGCCCTGTCAGCAAATGCTTGATGCAGAGAGCCAGCTGGACCATTTTGGCCAGTCTCTACTCATCACAATGCGATGTAATTTGGGAACTACCATATGGCAATAAACATGGCTACACAGATAGTGTATACACTTTATCACAATGTTATTAGGAACTAAGAACATTATATGACAAAAAGAGAGCAGGCTATCCAGGGTCGCATTGCTGCTGCCTACACATGAAATATGTAAGCATAATGTATTGCTTTGCAATCTCAAATAGATAAGTATCCTTTCTGAAACTGAACAAACAAATATTTCATTACTGCCGTCAGTTTTAATACACAAATCCATTCATGTGTATTGTTAAAGAACTGATATGAGTCTGAGGGATAAAGCTGAATTGCTTACAGGCTACACAAAATATTACAGGTAGAGTTTCTTACATAGATTGGCCACATTTTCTTTCACCGAAGAGATTGCTTCCACAATTCTCATGTATTTGGGTAAACTGAAGAATTTAAGTTGAAGTCCTTATAGCAGAAATATTTAAAACTTGATAGAATCTGATGTGTGTGCTACTCATATGTTTATTTATTTATTTATTTATTTATTTATTTTCTGCTGTGTACACCTGTCAGGAAGCTACAGAGTGCCTCTAATAACGTCAACTAGCCTCTGTTTTCTCGTCTTTCAGTATTACGCTTAAAGTGCAGCTACCTGCTGAGACAATAAACATGACTTCCCATGACTTTTCAGTAAATGAAGCTCACTTCTGAGGCCCCAGGGTACAGTCAATCTAAAATATAGATATGAAGGCTGGAATTAGAAATTTCATGATCAGCCAAGTGTACTTATAGCAGCTACATTTTGAAGGGGCATTCTTTCATCTATTAATTATATTCCACTTCCCCCTCTCACCAATACTAGCGACTCATCATTTTACATATTTAATGGAACATGACTAAAAATACATCAGAAAATTAATCAGTATTCGTACTGTACCAAGGAATTTTCAGTTACCGTTTATTTCTTTCAGACAGGCAGCTACTTCTTGGAAAATCTAGAAACAAAAGGAAAGGACTTACAAAATATATATAATATATATATATATATATTATTATTATTATTATTATTATGACAAGATAGCTTTAGGATATAACAGAAAATCAGTGTTCACTGCACAGCACAGTTCAATATAGAAAGTAATTTCCCAATCTTTTTCTATATCTTTGTCTGCCTACTTTCTTTCATGTCATATATCACAATACAGATTTTGCAAAGTAGATTGCACAGTGACACTGCCAACCTCCCTAGGCCTTGTCTTTAAGTTTAAAGTATATAGAAATGAAGAGGGAGAAGTATGCAAATCTGTTTTAGTGGGACTTTAATTTTATTGATCCTTCAAAAAAAAAAAAAAAAGAATACAAAAAAATAAACTCAAGTGAACAGAGTATACTATATGGAAAACGTCTTCTATTGCAGTTTTCATTGTTGGTATATCAAAACCTAAGCATGTATTAAAGATGATATCCTCCCCATATGAAAGTACATTATTTTAATGTATGACATTTTCAGATGTGGATCTTGATTGCTAATTTAGATGACAAAACAAAACAAAACAAAACAAAACAAAACAAAACAAAAAGATTTGCTTGTTTACTTACAGAGAGTTTTTGATTCTTGAAGCCTCATTCATCTGCACTGAGGAAAGTAGGATTTGCAACTGCCTGTACTGAAACTAAGGCTTATGGAACATGAAAAATATCAGGATCTTGCCCTTTGTGGACTCTGTTTTAAACAGCAAAGGTGGGATTTAATATTTTCAACAGAAAAGAAGCTGTGTTGATTTGTGGAATCTGTGGCATTTATAATTTCTGGCTAACATTATAAAATCATAACAATGAGGACTGCTGTTTCATGAAATATCTGCATATATCCACCTTTGCTGAATATGTTACTAGCATGTGTACATCCAAATTATGGACAGTAGAGAATATTAATTATTGCTAATGGGATATGTTTTGAAAATTGGCTAGAAATGAGAGAATATTTTGGTTTTGCATCTCAGAAAATAAGTGGATGGGATGGGACGGGATGGGACGGGATGGGATGGGACGGGACAGGACGGGACAGGACGGGACAGGATGGGACAGGATGGGATGGGATGGAACAAGACGGGACGGGACAGGATAGGACAGGACACGACAGGACACGACAGGATAGGATAGGATAGGATAGGATAGGATAGGATAGGATAGGATAGGATAGGATAGGATAGGATAGGATAGGATAGGGTAAGAGTGAAGAGAAGGTGCTTAAAAAAGGTACAAAAGCTGTATGTTCAGCCTAGTAGTTAGAAAGAAATAGACCATGAGAAAAGATGTGAAGGAATGTGAGTTCTCATCTAGTTTTAAAACCAATGAAATTAAAGAAAATGTGCAGAGAACAAAGAATTCTCTAATTTACTAAAAGAGGATGATCTCAAGATTTGCAATTATCCTGGAAGGTATGACCTCAATCTGGTGACTGGCAAGAAAAGTTATGCACTGAAATGCATACAAGATATTTTTGCTAAATCTATGCATCTGCTGCAATATAAAGAGCACCAGTTAGAAACCCTCTTAAATCAGTCAGTCTGTCTTTAATTTACCTACCATGTAATCCTGATGAATCAAATCATTTCCTTAAGTGCTTTGTTTTTTTTTTTGTTTTGTTTTTTTTTTGTTTGTTTGTTTTTTCCCTGCCTAAAACAATACAACAAAGACTAAAGATTTCAAAAGTATCTAATTCATTAGGGAACCTAAAGATCAGAAATCTGCAAAACAAGTAACCATATAATGACATAATATTTGGAGAACAAACTGAAGCTTCATCCTGCCAAGTGCACTAATCCTATTATGCAGTACCAAATAGTTGCCCCCTCTTGTTTCCTCTAGCCCTATGAATCATTAATTAGCCGATGCAAAGTGCAACAGCTTCAAAAGCAAGAACTCAGAAGAACCATGCCACGGAAACCTCATGAGCTTGTTGATGAATAGGATGAATAGGATGCTTATATTATCACATTCTCCTAACCAAGGAAGATCTGGAACTTGAGTCACCTGCTTTCTAGGTGAGTATCTTAGATATCTGCTCAGCTGCGGGGCAGAAAGGAGAAGTGATCACTCACTATATAGCACTGTTTTATGAGAAAGTGCAGATGCATGCCTCCAAAACAAAGCTACTTCAAGCCAAAGTAAAAGACGCTGTATCTATGAGACAGTCATAATTTTACAGTCATAATTTTAGACACAGCCTTTTGTAAAAAATAATTTTAGGAAGGTATTCCTCAGGGATCATGGAACTCCTTAGGAATTATCTCAGATTTATGGTACTAATTTCCAAAACCACTAGAATTTTTCACAAATGCTGCTTCTTCTAAGTTACATCCTGAGTATTTTACCTACAAGAAAGCACAGAAAGCCAAGAAAAATACTGGGCTGATACAGAAAAATAAAACAACAGGTGACAAGTACTTTAAGGTTTTTAAGGTGTCTGGAAAATGCCACTATAATCACAGTAAAGAACACAAAAATATTACTAAACTTCAAATTGCATAGAAACCCAACAGCATATTTCATGGACACATAGAAAGGTTCATTGACTTGTTTGTACAATCTGTGTATTTTAACTGTTCTGGAATGTGACAAAGCTTTACCTCCATACTCAAGGATAGTGCTCAGTGGAAACCAGGACACAAATAATATTTTAGACTATGCTAATTTATACCTTTTTCAGGTATCAGCATGTAAAATATTTCATAAGAATACAATAATCATATAATTAATATTGCCATTATTATTATTACAGGCTCAAATACTGTAGATTTTTAATGTTTATGATGTAAATTTTCACCGAAAAGAGGCTTTTCTTTATGGTAATCCTAGTGCATTATTTCATTCATTGCTAAAATTTATTACAATAATATACTGCAAGCTTGCTTTTTAAGAGATAATTAAACAAAATGTCAATCTAGTTACCTATTCCTAAATTGTTTGGAGGATAATCACTAGGAAAGTTACATATCTAAAGTTATATAGAAGGATTTTATATAGAAAACAAAGCAGTACATTATGGAACATGATTGTTCATTTTGTCCACGTAAGCATGTAACAAAAAACCCACACTCACACGATTATCACTGGACAGTTAAATGCATAAAAGCATTACTTCTGCCCTGGCATGTGAGAGTCATAGTTCAATTTTTTATTTATTTTTTTTCTCCAATTACATTTCATTGACTCTTTCCTCCTCTCTTTAACATTTAACAATATCATGCTTTCTTCAGAATCCCTCATATCTCTACCATATCATATCTCCATATACAACTGAAAACTGTACTGCAAAAGAAGCTGGAAACCAGAAACAGAAAAATTACAGCTGAAGTAATGTTTTCAGCCTGCCAAACGTTCACATTTTCAAGACTGTTGCATTAGAGCATGAGATTAATTCACTCGTATATTCTGTTGATTAACAAATATATTTATTTATGTAAATCTGAGAGATTTATGTTCAATAATATTATTTTATTTAATTTTATATTTTCTTTGGCAAGTTAGGTCTGTGAGGATTAGTGGCCAGATTTTTTTTTTTTTTAATTTTAATCCAAAATATCAATGCAAACTTCTGATTAAACTCCCAAGCTTTATTCTTTGTTATTTATTAATTTTGTATTTTATATTCACTTTAAATATTCTTATATGACCCCTCCAAGCTTATTTTTATACCATATTTTGGGGTAGAAAAGTTTCATTGGTCTTTGTTTCAAAGTCTACTAAATAATCACTGTATTGGCCTCTGTAAATATTAAGAGACAAATACATAATTACTTGTCCCTTCCGTACACTTTACGAACTGTAATGTAAAGCCCACATCATTTAAATGTATGAGACAGAGGTTAAGACTGAAATATTTAAGTGAGTTATATGGGTTTCCAAAGTTCTAACACTTGGCACTAGCTGAGATTTAACTGTGACCTACTGGTATGAATACTGACATTTACCAAATAGTTTTACATGAACATATGTCAAAGCTGTGAACTGCCTGTGTGAAAATATTAAAAGAAAAAAAAAAAAAGTGAGGGAATGGAAGAAGAGTCTGAAGGAAAAGTGATAAATAAAGCACTGACTGAATATCCAATTACAGATCAAATACCCAAAGAACAACAAGCCCTGGCAGGAGCCAAAAAAAAAAATAATATATATATATATATATATATATATATATATATAAAAGACCAATATATATATATAAGACCAATATATATATATATATATATATATATATATATTTTTTTTTTTTTTTTTTTTTTTTTTAAATATGAAGACAAAATTTTTGTGTTTCACACATAGGCATTGTACAGAACTAAAGAAGTGAGAATCTGGGTTGGTCAAAATAACCTAGCATTCAAGAAATTTTGGACACGGACATTAAATAATAATAATAATAATAATAATAATAATAATAATAATAATAATAATAATAATAATAATAATAATAAAAGTGGTAGGATTTAGACTTCAAGCTAGAATCCAAATGAATCTACTTTGAAGTGACTATTTCCTTGGGAAATTTGAACTGCTGATGTAAGTGTGAATTATAAAATAGATATAAAAAGTAAAATAATTTCCTTGACTGTTTTTCCAACAAACCCGGGAAACAGGAGTTTGGAGTGTAGGCCATGAAGTACAAAGTTGATGTTCCAATTAAGTAAACAAAATAAAAATTAGGTCTTAGTCCTGACACCCTTCAATAGAGGTTTTCCTGCCTGAGATAAAGAAAATAAAAAAAAAAAAGTACTTCTGCAGGTACCCCTCTGTCTCTCTACAATGACCGCAGCAGAAGCCAGGGCTTATAACTGGAGTTTCATGCCCAATTACATGGTGCTGCTCCCCTGGTGTCAAGGGATCCTGCCTAGAGCTGTCATTTGAAGTACACTATTTGAATTACTGTATTTGAAATACCAAGTGCATCAGTTGGCAAACCTAAATGAGCATATAATTAACTATTCAGTCACAACTTACTAACAACTGTGTAAATATATATATATATAAATATATTATTTATGTTGTCTTTGACTAATATGCTCAAGGTCCTCTGCTATGAATAGAAGTCATAACCAGTGGCATTTAATACACACTTGCTGAACATGTGTGTATAGATCAGAGATGCTGTTCACTCACATATGGACATCCAAGTGAGGTATACTCTGTGTGCAAAGGCAGGATTCATGGCTAACATTTTATTATAGCAATTTCTTGTAAAATTTCATTTTGCAAACTGCTTTTAAAACCTTTTAAATACCCATTAACTACCAGTGCAGTATATAAATTAGAAAATTGCTGAAAACGCTCAGTCCAATGAAGGTTTCTCTAAGGTGTTGAAAAGTAAGTGTTTCTAGTTAATCATCCAATGATATTGCAGTGCCTACTTTGTATGGCTGGTGGCTCATTAATAAAAAAAAGAAATGAAGCCATTAAGGGACCTCTTTGGCACACCCATGTTAATTATCCTCCCATGTGAGTATTTATTTACTTAGGTACTTTGAAATTTTTCATACGACTTGCAAGCACTCTGTTACTGTGTTTGATCATGTCTTTGAATCTTTTCAGTCAAGATATTATAATTCCTGGTCATTTTCCCAGTTTCATAATACCACGTTCTTGCCACTGGACCTTGCTTATACTGAAAGAATAACGATCCAAAAATGCACTTTTATGATTCTGTCTTGACAAAAGCAACAGTTTTTGCAAATAATCTTGAAGGAACAGGAGAATCAGATTCACTTTAATTGTCAGGGATTGCTTGAGATCATTTATTTGAAGACTGGTTGTGTTCAAATAACTTGGAAAATGAGGGGTTTTTACATGAGGTAATGAGAAAGCATAACAAATAGCAGATATTGCCAGCAGAATAGCATAGATGTTACAGCCTAAAATAAGTACTACATGTTTTGTGGACTGGAAAGCAGGTTGCTATGCTGTCAATTCCATCAACAAAATGAACAGAAACCCTAGGCATTTTCTACCTTGTAATCTTCAGTTTTAAAAGAAGCCCCTCTAGTTTTTCAGGGTTAAATCCTTTGTCAGCAACAGATTATAAATATACCTGAGCCTCTAGAGAATTCTTTAAGGAATATACACTTTACTGGTCAGAAGGGGATGCAGCCAACCTCCATATAATGACAGACAGCCATGTGTACTGTTGGTATTATACAGCTGAAGATACTTACGTTTCTGACTTTTGATGCCAAGATACTATGTAGAGGGATACAGAGGGGTGAGAACATGAACATGTACTTCATTGATCAGAAACAAAGGATGTTTCCCTAGGAGCAGAAGAAATATGAGATGCTGCCTCCCTATAGCCCTCACATTTATGCCAAGATTATAGACAGAATTAGTGGATAAAAGAGAACACGTTAGTTAATAAAATAATAAATAAATAAATAAAATAAATAAATAAATAAATAAAATAAAATAAATAAAATAAAATAAATAAAATAAAATAAAATAAAATAAAATAAATAAATAAAATAAAATAAAATAAAAAAATCCTCCCTACAGTATTCTTTTGCCTGAAGGATGAATTGCTCCAGTGGATGGCCTCCTTGCCTTTCATGATGAGGTCAAGAAACTTGCTGTCACTACCACTGCTATGATTAATGATTCAACTGGTACTGACAGTAATCAAACCATAGTCTCTGGAGTATAGCTTGACTGCATTAGTCCCCCAGTAGGTTGAGTCACTGTACTGGCAGGAGATCTATCTGCTTCTGCTACAGGCATATACTTGTGTCCTTCTTGAAGCAAAATTTTGTGAAAGTACAGGTGACACCAGAATGAGTCATGACTGTTAAGAAGGTTAAAAAATTAAATTAATTTAAAAAAAAATGAAAAAAATAACCCTTTGTAACAATTGGAAAAATACTGCATAATGAATCATTAAACTATTAATAATATAATCCTCTTAAAAACATGGAACTACTAGTCAAGAAGATTAAGTGTATAAAAGCTTCCAGTGCAATGAAAATGGCATAAGGGAAGAAGCTGAGTTTTCTACTGTCTTTCTCAT